AATCGTTTTTACCTGCTGGATTAAGCACTAATCAACTGAAAAGGGGCAGCGCTCCGGCTACGCCTCTCGACTCGACGGTGTCAAAAGCAGCGCAGCCATCTTGTTTGTTTACGTGACGTCATGGAGCGCGAAAAAGTCACTCGTGCTACGAGAAATTTTCGGTGCATGAAGAGCGCGCTCGAGTGTCGGTCTCCGGTGGCACTCCTGTCCGTCTAGTGAAAGGAGCATCAAACTCTCGCGCTCCGGAGCACGGACTTAACGCGCCCCGTGGTGGATTCTAATCTGCACTCCGAGTGCGAATAATTTTGGATTGTTATCCGCACTCCAAGTGCGGTTTGTGCTGGATTCTTATCCGCACTCCGAGTGCGGATTGCGTGTGGAGGCGCAGACGCTCGTTAGCACGAAGCTGTTGAGTCTGTTGGATCTTAATTACCTGCACTCCGCGTGTGGCGCGATTTTGTCGCGGGAAACTATGAACACAGTGGTGTAGAAGTTCTCAATTTTGTGTTGTGAATGACATCGGCTTTTATGCAGCCTCGACGAGTCAATGGGAATATTGGCGGTTCTAGTTTCAGAATTAGATTAGTTTCAAGCAAATACTTTTGCTTTTATTGAAAGAAATAATTAGCCTTGGGTGGTGCACCTGAGAGTAAACGGTGCTCACGCCTCGGGGATCGGACGCAGGTGATCAATGTGTATGTATGTGTTTGTGGCAGAGGGGGGGGGGGGGGGGGGGGGGTGGGACTCCTTTATTAATATTTTCACTGTGGCTAGCATTACGTCCAGTCGGAGCACTGAAACACGTATACCTAACCCCCCGCCCTCCTCTCTCTCTCCCCCGTGAACCTGGGAAAGGCGGAGATTTGGACGTAACTTGGGTTACGTTGGACGTAACGCTGGACACTTCGTAATATTTTACCCACTCCAAAATTCCGGGACATCCCACTCACATCAACCCCCCCCCCCCCCCCAAAAAAAAAAAAAAAGTTCTGGCGACAATTTTTTTTTAAGGTGAAATATTTTTATAGATGAAAGAAAAAAAACTAGAGCAGTGCAGAATTTTTTCCCTGTATTGTCTTGTGCTTAGATGCGGTGGCATAGAAAAAGGGGGGGGGGGGGGCAGGAAAATCAGTCATTTCCAGGAAACAATATTGTTAAAAAAAGACCCTTCCCTTTCCTATGCCACTGCTCATCATCTCAACACAAGACAATACACGTCTTCTGAGCACTTTTAACACTACTAGATGGGGGAATGCCTGAAAAGTCCCTGGCCATTTGTTACTGTAGCTTTTCTTTTTCTTTTTTAAATACAATGATTTGCGCGTTTGTGAGTAGACGAAGATAGATGTGATGGCTGTTAAAAGTTGTGGGTTTTGGGCGCGGCGGCAGCGGAAGTTTGGGACATCTGTGTGTGTGTGTGCTTGAGGGGGGCGGCAATTGCGCCTTGAAAATTGTTTGCTCGCAGTCCGTTTCCACATTACTGACCGAACCAGCCAAGCACCACACAAAAGTTTATGCGCTAACTGTGACAAAGCTTCCGTTTTTTTTTTTTTTTTTTTTTTGCAAATAATAATAATTTGTTTACCAGAAAGAAGAAAAAGAAAATACTGAAGGAAAAATAGGATTGCTTATTTCCTGCTTTCATGCCTTTTTACAGGTCCCCGGGGCGCGAGTACAGTTCAATCTTTACCCAAATGCGCCACTTAGCGCAAATCAATCTCGAAAAAAAGAGAAAAAGGAAGGTGCATTTATGCATTTGCAGTAATGTTTTGAGGTGAGCTAGTCGGTGGTGTATAAAAAAAAACATAATTAAAACAGCGCAAACGAACACAAGGACAATTAGAAGAAGGGACACAGATACAGCGCTGACTCGCGTCTTTTTATGTTGATGTGTTTTAAGAAGACGAAAAAGAGAGCAAGTCGTGAGTCAGCGCTGTGTCTCTGTGCCTTCTTCTACTTGTCTTTGTGCTCGTTTGCACTGTTTTAATTATATGTTTACGATTATGCATTTGTTTCAAATTGAACTAATTCCGAAGCACAGGTCTTCCCCCAATTAAACACCGTGCAACTACTAATATTTCTGTGGAATCGGCGCTGCCAACATCGGTGATGTGATTGCTGCGCCAATTGCGCCAAACTCTGCGCCAAGCGGCTAACTCTGCTACATCCTGCTACATTTCGCCAAAATATGGCTAATCTGTGCCAAACCTGCGCAAAAGGACCAATCTTGGTCGCCTTTCAAAAACGAAACTAAACTGAGAACCGTAATTGAGCATGCGTTGGCTAGGTGGCACAAGACGCTGCCCGACAGAAAGTACCCTGCATCAATCGTCTATGCGGTCTTGCATGATTTTTTTCGCCGTCTCGCGTTTCGCACTCTCGTCGTCTCGGGAATCTCATCTCGCGTCTTTTTTTCTTTTTTAATTTTTTTAGTGATAGACGCGGCCGTGTGCGCGGACACTCCGACGTTAGTGTGTCGGGTTCCAGACTTGCCGTCATGCTGTGAGACAAAACCACGTTTTTATGTGGCAAGAGTTACTTTGTACTCACAAAGCTCACAAAGTAACTCTCGTCGCGCGACGTCGTGTGTTGCCGTCCCCACTTTGCTGCAGATATAATGCTTTCTAAACTGAAACGCATCGACATTCCTGCTCTTGTTTAAATCATACGCTGCTATAAAAATCCCTCTTTAACTCAATGACTGCTTTGTCAAAGTATTGATTACCTAGGTTTCTCTCGGTGGGCTTTCTCCCGAGAGGGACCCCGGTACGTGAAAAATCTGCCGCGAAAGAATGTTGTTGATGAGAAGTGACCTAAAGCAAAGAAGGCAATGTCTGCACGCTGAACCTGCACAGCACGCTTGTTTGTCTCGAGTTCAATCGTTGCCCAAAGCGCTCCAAAAGCTTCTTGACCCTGGCTCGCAATGTCTTGCATCGATACGCTCAGGTCCTTTTTTTGTGTGTGTTTAGCTTGTACCTCGCCCACCGGCCTGGCAAGCACGCACCGCTGGACTGTTTATTGTCGTATGCTGGACAGTTACATTTTGTACATGTATATTATTTTGGGAACCAGTTGGCGACAAAGCGGAGTGGCGTGGTTTCGGTCGAGCAGCCGTTGTCTCTGCTCGTGCGACGAAGCACGCCTAAGTGCAAGCCTGCCGAAGTTGTTCTCACGTGCATGTGAACATGATTGCACGAGAGGCACCAGCCAGGGCGCTTGCAATCTAATGTCTTACGTTTGCTTACTTTTTATAAAGATCTGCCACGTTGAAAACCAGTAAAACGAAAGCAAGTGTTTTTGTTTTTTTCAGAATTGCTTGGCAACGCTTACAGCACTGTATACTTGTGGGATGTCTCAGCAGCAAAAACACAAGCAGCGAATTCCGCCCAAACACGTCGCATCGCAACACAGCACGAAGTGCCCTTCGTTTGTCCAGCATTTAAAACAAATATTTATTTTTCTAAGAATGTATGCTCCAAAAGTCACTTTTTCTGCTCCGAAACACTGTTTTCGCTGCTCCAAAAGCCACTTTTGCTGCTGCAGAACACACTATCTTGGCCGCTCCAAAGGCCACATTTGCTGCTCCAAAACACTGTTTTGGAGCAGCAAACACCTAAGTGCAAGACCTAAGCATAAACTTAGTGGGACTTGAATGTGCCTATTGTCAGTGCTGCGTTTGAAATAAGAATGGCAGTGCCCTTATATCTGTCCTTTCAGTAAATTTTACATGATATAGTTCCTTAAGCATCTGTCCGTTTGCGACATGTCAGGATTACAAAATTGTCAAATGATTTTTAATAATTTTAACGACCACATTTTTTTTTCAAAGTTCAGTTTACACTTTAAGGACAGCGACCATCCAGTGGTAGTTTTCAGCACTTTAGAGACGTCTGGAGGCAGGTTGGCTCACCAGAAAGGGAACTTTGTTGTCATAGCACCGTCCAAGACCAACTATTGGCTACAATTGGAGGACGACGACCATTCCGAGGTAGTTTTCATCATTTCAGAGACGTCTGGAGGCAGGTTGGCTCACCAGAACGGGAACTTTGTTGTCATAGCACCAACTAAGATGAAATATTGTCTACAATTGAAGGACGACGACCATTCCGAGGTAGTTTTCATCATTTCAGAGACGTCTGGAGGCAGGTTGGCTCACCAGAACGGGAACTTTGTTGTCATAGCACCTTCTAAGATCAATTATTGTCTACAATTGAAGGACGACAACCATTCCGAGGTAGTTTTCATCATTTCAGAGACGTCTGGAGGCAGGTTGGCTCACCAGAAAGGGAACTTTGTTGTCATAGAACCATCTAAGATCAATTATTGTCTACAATTGAAGGACGACGACCATTCCGAGGTAGTTTTCATCATTTCAGAGACGTCTGGAGGCAGGTTGGCTCACCAGAAAGGGAACTTTGTTGTCATAGCACCATTCAAGACCAATTATTGACTAAATCGGAGGCCGACGACTGTCCCGGGGTAGTTCTCAGCACGTTGGAGCCATCTGGAGGCAAGTGTGGTCACAAAATAGAGAACTCGATTATAATAGCACCATTCAAGACCAATGATTGACTATGATATGGGGACGATGACAATACTCTGATTATCTTCAGCATTTGAGTTTCCTCTGGAGATCCCCCATTGCCTTGCAGAAGTGTCTCAACACCTCTCGCGGAAGTGTCTCAACACCTCTCGCGGAAGTGTCTCAACGTTATTCTCAGTCGTCGAAATGGATGGGCATTGGCTCCTTTATGACTGCCACTCGTGCATTCTTCATAGAACTTCTGTATCCATTCAAACGCATTTCTTTGCGAGAAAGCATTTCCATTTCCATAATACTGTGCACAAAGTTCTTTTTATGGATATCGGTATATTCATATATATGGAATTACTGGACACCCCTTCATATCACGACAACGATGACTGATTCACTTGTACAAATTAAGCATGGGACAGCCATTCTTCCTAGCACCTCAGTCCCAACTGAACTGATTTAACAGATTCAAGCCTGCACAGCAGTGACTGGAGATACAGCAACCTTGTATGAAAAGTGCCGATAAGACAGTGCAGCCAACAGAAGGTGTAAGTTGACCAAAGTGAAATAAGTTTTTAATCACCCTCGTACGACATGGATCCTTCGTAACGTCTGCATTCTGGCTCCAACCATACTTATTCATTGTTTAGTTTACTTCATGAGCCAATCTTAGTAACGGAATACATATAGCATTTACACCAAGACACTCTTTGTGGCTTTGTTTTAAAAAATGAAAGTTACATTAAAGCGGTTTGCGCAGGTGAGGTATACGGCCAAGGGAACATAGTATAGGGGGCTAATTGTAACGATCAGTTGGCTAATTAAGTAAAATTCGTTAATTAACTTTTTAATAAATGAAAATAGACATGTGGTTCCAAATAGAAACTTGCTCAGCGTCACCTAAGGCCACTATATCAACTCTTTTTCGAAGGATATAACGCAGGGGCTGTATATTACAATGTTCCATGAAAACGCTCAATTTGGACGCGTTTCTAGGTTTCGATTTGTTATTGCAGTGCATCTCTGCGCCCACGGTCCTGCTCGACAGTGGCTGAGACGTGCAACACAGTTGCGCCCAACTTCCCTCTATGCTACAAGGTAAGCGAGGGAGTGCCTTTGCGCCGCGACTACCGGGAGGAGGAGGAGGAGGAGGAGGAGGAGGAGGAGGAGGAGGAGGGGGGAGGGGGAGGGGGAGGGAGGGAGGGAAGAGGGAGGGAGGGAGGGGGAGGGGACAGGATCGCAGGCTCAGAGATGTGCTCGGATAAGTAAGCGAAACCTAGAAACACATCCAAATTGAGCGCTTCATTAGAACGACGTAAAATGCTGCCCATGCTTTATGTTCTAAAAAGAGTTGATTTAGTGGTTTTCAATGGCGCTTAGCAAGTTTCTAATTGGAACTATATGTCGATTTTTAATTATTTAAAAAGTTAATTAACGAATTTTAAATAATTAGCTGACTTATTGTTACAATTAGCCCCAATACTCTATCCCCCTGGCTGTATAACTCATCTGCACAAACCGCATAAGTGTAACTTTCACGGCTTTTTAAACAAATCTGTTAAGTTTTGAAAGAAACACCTGGTATATCTTTGTGTAGGTTAAAACTTTCCTACTTTGACTTTATTATGATCATAAAAGTCAAAATTAAATGGGTTGTTAGCCTTCAGAGAGTGATGAATCAGTCAGCTATGAAATTAGACTGTTTGTGTCTCCACTGCAGAAAGAAAACTTACCATATGCAGCATGACTGCTAACTTGGGGTCTTTACATGTAACCTTGTAACTTGACCTTCTGACTTTCTTTGTGCTGCATCAGTCATTATTCTGTTAGCTCATAAAATTGAAGATAGTTAATTTATAGGTTAGTTCAAAAAGCAAGCTGCATTACACTCTGGTTTCTCACTTATTTTAAATAGTGTTACGTAAAGTTTCCCCAGATTGGCAAAGTTCCATCTTTCTGTGGCAGTCGTGCATTTCATTCCTCTGGTTCTATTATGCTGTTCTAATTTCTATGCCTAGGTGTTAAGGGTTTTTCTAAGTGTCTGTTAGTTCTGTCTTTTAGCAAACAAATACAAGCTGTGCCTTAGACCTAGACATTGTACATAGTTTCTTTTCTATTTAACCTGCTCTGCCTCAGATCTCAATCATGAAAACCTGCACTAGGATTATCGCATTAAGCTTAGGTCATTTATAACCTACATGATTTTCCAAAATAAACCATTCAGATTTCCGATCAGCCTTCATAAGCATTTCATGTTTTTGTTAGTACCTGAATTATTTCCTTAAGAAATTCGATGAGCAGATGCTGGAATAAGCAAGGCTTGAGTCTAGGGCTGGGGTCCAGTTGCTTGTCAAGGATAATTTAACCATACATATTTGTATAAAAATTTCCAAGTGCAGCCAGGAAACAGAAATACTGGGTATTTTCATGATGCCTACTTCACCACACAACTTATGTGCATTGCAACAAAGTGCACCCAAGAATAAAAGTAAATATTGTATTCAATTTTGACAACAATTTAAATATATCGAAGTACAAATACAATTACTGAACGATTATTAGCTTCTACGGTACTGCAGAACATGTTGTAACATCTGTACCCATAGGGGCATGGCGTGTGAGCTGTGGCACAGTACACTGCCTGTCTCCCTAGTTGAACGTAAGGCGGTGGCGGTCTTTGAAGTATGAAAACTCATACTAGGTCATCACATTGTGTCTATGAGAACAGTCATCTCTTCGCACCACCCGCCACAGCCTGCCCTAATACAGTGCTGAGCAAATCTCGCATCTTAGTCGTTATGATTTCTTGTCGCCGCTACAAAGTGCGGTCACCAGATAAGTTTCGACTGTAGAACGACACAGTTTTCCGAAGCTAAGATTTTAATCGGGAGACAAAGAAACTTCTCTTAAAGATTGTCCCAACACTAAAAAAAAAAAAATAGCCTTTTCGTTGCATTATTGTCTAAATGCATTGTTCACCGCAATTTAATGAGAACGAAAGAATGGGGCTACAATCGGCTGATCGCCGAGATCATGCACTGCCGCTATTCAACGCGCTGATCGGAAAAAAAGAAAATGCGTTTAAAGTAAAAATCTGACGTTTACAACACTCTGTAACGCCGAATTAGAGCACAGCTCTTAAAGAAGACGAGGGAAGGGTACTGAGGGGAGGGTATACCCCTTCTCGCTCCTCCTCCTCACCCACTCATCGTCCCTGCTACTCCTCCCCTCCTCCTCATCCTCCTTCACCTCCCCCTCACCTCATCCTTCAAGCTCCTCTCTCCTCCCCTCCTTCCTTCCCTTCCCCCTCCTCTTCCTTCCTTCCCTCCCCCTCATCCTCCTCCCTACGCATTGCATCACGGGTAGTGTCCCATAATGCACTGTGCGGTTACGCCGACTCCACTCAAGGCGGAAACGGGTGCCTAAGAGCTGCGCTCTAAAATAAACAAGGTTGTAAATAGCAATACGTTACAGATATGCGCAAATAACTGCATACGAATGAGCACGCTGAAATAAAAACCAATGGGAAGATGGACGTGAGCCGTGCGGGAGCCCCACATCTGCATACCTTTCCCGGTTAGGGCTAACACACACTGAGAGTGGGAAGTCAACTTGAAAACGGGTCGATAAACACTTCACATAATATTTTGCATCTGTCGCAATCGAAGGTCATTCTGTTGAGGCTCTCACGCTGCTGTAGCCCAAAACACTTTGTACAACCAATTTCGTCCACCATGTAGACCACCACAAACCAGCCGACATGTTTTAAATCCAGGATTAAGAAACGACCAAGTAAAGTACCCGATGTTGAGCACTCACGATAGGCATGGTTTAGTGCTAGGTTTAGCGATAAGGGATTTTGGTGCAACAGAACAAAACCAAAACTCGGCTTAGGTTCCCCGCTAAGCTCTGATCTGCGTTAAGCTGCATTGGTGCAACTGGCCCTAAGTCTCAGACCACCACACTTTACTGTCATGACCAAGAAGGCACCCAAAACAGGCAGTAGAAGATGCTGGAAATGCCGCCGGCGGCAGTCTTTGCAACGTCGTCTGCTCTCCGCTCCTTATCTGGGAAGCAGCTTTACCGCATTGCACGCGGAGAAGCTGTTGTGGCATGCCGATAGAGGCGTTCGGAGCGCTAACGACAACATGCCGGCGGAGATGACGGAGAGAGCCTAGATTTAAGAGAGGGAGCAGTAAGTGCGCCTGCATTTGATTGTCGCCTGGCCAGTCTAGCGAGAAAACTGGGCAAGAAAAGAGGGACATAAAATATAATACAGATGACCCAGGCTTTTAACTTGCAACAAAATATATATTGGCTTCAAGTTGCTTCCCAAAGCTCCATGAGGGTGTGACACAAAGACGGAGGGGGAGAGGACGGTGAATGAGAGATGCAGGGGGCTATGTGCCTATGCCAACAGCTAAGCATATGCAGCGGGAAGTAGTCTGCTGAGTGTCAAGTGACATGACGCCATTGGCTACAATATGTTTGCTTTTTGAAGCCTACATTTTACCTTTCTCTTCCCTTAGTGAAGGCACCTGTATTGTTTTCAGACGTGAATTATGTTGTTTGATTATAGGGAATGCATTAGATTGTTGCACTTCCATTTTGTGTTAGTTCAATCAATCATTTTATTTGCACCTGTACAAGTACAAATGCTAGGAGACAGACAAAAAGCCAACAGTTGTTTGCTTGACAAGGTATTCTCTTTCATCTTCTTGACAAAGAGAGCTACAAAAACAGCGAAGAAATAACTATCGTATGTCTCACAGAGATAAAAACAGGAAAAAAAACAAACAACAGAATGAACACTTGTAGGTATGACATTGTCATGAAAACACTTATTGGTTTGAGAGCCCTGTGCTCTATTTCAACACAGAACACATGGTTGTGCACCATAGAAGTGGAAGTTCGAGAACAGTGATAATATGCAACCACCAGCTCTGCGAAGAAATGCTGCATGTAAAGCATACATATATTGTTATTTTCAGCAGGAGGTCACATTTTTCGAATGTGCTCTCGCTGCACAAGCATTTATATAGCAGAGGCATCTGAGGGTTCTGTACTCAATCGATAGTTATTTTTTAAATTCTGAATATTAGAAGATTTGTACCTAACAATCCATCTTATTTTCTAATAGCACCCCAGGAGCTACTATCGCCCAAAGATGTCACAGGTGGTCATGGTTCTTTGAGGCAGCGGACTGCCTCAAAGAACCCCTCACCGACTTTTTGACATGTGTGCTTGCCTCTAATGGCCCTTTCAGAAATTTGCATCAGGAGCTGTAGCTTTGACAGCATCTGTTGCAACCACAATGTCTGCAACGACCACAGTGTGTTGCTTGGACACAAATTTGACACAACTTCAGCAATAGCCTTTTTGCTAATTACCCAAGCACCAAGGGGAATGCTGGAAACGTAGGTACACATGCCGCACACGCTTGCCTTCTCTGCATAAAAGATTCGAGGCAAAAAACCAAAATAGGGTTTCGAGGAATGTGTGTGCAATGTGCTATTTATTTTAGATTTTTACCTTTGAACAGATTCGCTTGCAGACACCAGCACATGCAGTGTATGTTCATACATTCTCAGCATTCTTTTTTGTGCATGGTTAATTTGGGATATGGTCTATCCTGACATATATGGCAGTATGTAGTGTTATTTCTGTGAGAGTAGATTCTCTATGGCCATCAGCTTTTTCTTTTATTGGCCATGCCTTAAATAACAAGGTCTTTTCAAAGTATGATGGGAAGCAGGTAGGTGTTTTTGTTTGTATAGGCTTGATGTTGTTATTATTCCCAGGACATCATTCTTGCAGGCCTAAATAGAAGAGCTAACTGTGATTCACCGCACTAGAACTTGAATACTCCAGTCTCACCGCATTCTTGTGTTGCAACTGTAGAAACATACAATAAGTTTCCTTGTGCAGTGTATTACTGCAGAAGAAAGCAGGCATGGTTCACACACTTGCAACTGCCTACAACCGGCACGGCAGTCATAAGCATTTATAGAGGTTTAAAGCCAGTCTTTTAACCTCTCCAGCGAGAAGCAGTCGCAAGTGTGTGAAACAGCCTTTGTGCCTGTTTTATTTCTGTTAATCACTACCCCTGGAATGAGATCAGTTGTGAGCAATCGAAGCAGCACTGACCGAAACCTAGTTCAGGCCAACATCTTTATGCAAATTTTTAATGCACATTCGCAAGCCTGTTGAAAGCATTTTACGTGCATAATCTTTTTCTTTCAAACTCACTACAGATATAAGCACTGCATTAGCATGACTCTTCCCTAGTTTGTTAATTTTTCAGCACACAGTCGCCGACCAACATACTAAAGCAGGCTCCTCTGGTCCGTGCAATTTGCTTTGTAAGCAGTCGGTCAACTGAACCTTCGGACTATGTCCAATCTGATGTCGAGGTTGGGTATACTGTCCCTATCACGTGAGCAGATAGCTGAAATTGTAGCCGCAAGGCTAGCTCCCTCCCCCCTGTGAAAGTAGGGTGTTTTTCGGGTGGCGGATCTAAGGTTTGGGAAGCCAGTGCTTTCCTGTGGCCCTTTCAACCTTCCCTTGACACTTCTGCTTGTACAGCGCGTGCTGACAGCTACTTGAAGTATCTTTTTGGTTGTAGCGTTTGTCTCGACCACAGTTTTCAAGGGCATAGGAGAATAGTTTCATTGATTGACCCTTAACTTGACACTGTAAGTCAAGCAGGCTGTCGTGACCATGCTCATCTCTTATTGGTGCTGTATCTTCAGAGTTTAATGTATTAGTTGTTAATTGAAAGTTGGCTTTGAGGCAAGATGCCGAGTTATTAGGTTGTAAACCAGACTGAGGTTCCTGCAATTTGACTGAGGCTTATTGTGCTGCAAGATCAGTCTAGGTTCACAATACCTGGGTGGTTGAGATGAATCTTCAAAGTTTTGTTCTAATTAAATCTGTATGATTTTCTTTTTTAGCACCTTTCAAGCTAAGTGGTTGATGGTTTTTTTTGTGCCTTGTCTTTTCAGAAGTGCATCTTTAACACCTTCAGTTTCTTTTCTACTGCAAGCCTGGTACTACAGCTTGTGGCCTGTGTAGAAGAATAGAGGGGTGAAACCAAGGCTCAAGTGACTGTGGACTCATGGCCCTCAGACAGCTAGAGCACCAGACCAGGCACAGACCAGAGCCATTTATGCTCCACTTCTAGAGGACATGTTGCGGTTTGAAACTACCAAGACTCATGGAAGCTGCTGACAGGAGGCTGTTGGTATGTTCAGTTTTATTCTTTAGTGGAATTACTTCTCGGAGCATTGTAATTCTTTGTGTAATAATGGCAATTCCCTGTGCAATATCTGCAGAATATAGTTGTTAGATATACATCCTTAGCCATTCAAGATCTGGAACTTTCAACAAGTTCTGGTGGCAACCACATAAATTGCAGTCATGGAAAACACCAAGCCTATAGAATTTCTGGTTCTAACTGACATCTATCGAGAATCACTCCTCTGGTAGCATACCTCTTGACTTAAAGGGGCCCTGCAATCATATTTAAGCGTCTACCTTCTTTGCGGTTTCCAAATCTATTGGGGTTCGGGCAAGGCAGCGGGCACGGAGAGAGTAACTAAATACCAGTGCGTTATATTTTAACCGGACGACGTGGAAACCTCCTCCACCTACGGGGGCGACCTGCGGTGCCGAAAGCGCGCAATTTGTGTAGTCTACTGGTCAGACCCGCTAAAAGCTTCTTTTCAGTCGAAATACAAAATATAAGTGGCGCAAACCGTTTCAAATATTTATGAAAGTACTTTTTGTTCAGTATTTTAGATCAGAAAAGAAACAAATGCAGTTTATAAAGACGGAAACAAGAAATGACCCGTCGACATATCCACCACCAATCGGCGGAAAAGGCGGCGCATACTAGAGGGGTAGTGGGGTCAGGCACCGATGAGCGGCGAGTGTAGAAAGGTCTCCGATGTACGCGGCGGCGCTGCAGTCGTATACGGGCTCGATGATCCGACTGGTTCCGAGCGTTTCGAAGGCCTTTGGCGAGCAGATTTGGCTTGCGATTTGGCCGTTTGGTGGTATGGTAGCGCGAAGTGGCTCCCTTTCTGAACTGATTTTTAACTCGTGTTTGCTGTCGTTGGTGGCCAATGAAGTGTCATGCCGAATCAGTGTTTAATCGTGCAGCAAGTGCAGTGCGAGCCACCCTGGTCGCCCGCTTCATACAGCCTAGCCGGAACATGCTTTAGTGGCGCCCTCTCTAGCCGTCAACACGGAGTGCGGCAGCCGTGTGTGCTTGTTGAGCTCACTAACCCTGCTCTAGTTCACGACCACTCAAGCGACGAAGGACGTCATGAAAGAGGGTTTTTGTGCTTGTTTTTGTATTTTTAATTTGCCTATATCTTTTAAAATAAAGTAAAATTTGTGAAAAAAAGTTTCATTAAGATGCGACGTTCAGTGCACTCAGGTTCAGTGCAAATTAAAAACCAGTACAAAAGTTCTTGCAGGGCCTTTTTAAAAATCAGCCAAGTAATCCCTGTACATTAAATCATTTCTTGCATCTGCAAGTACAGATGACGAAGCCACGGACAAAAAAGCCAATCTTTGTTGGCTTACTAGGTCCGGGCCCCGAGAGCTTGGCAGATGGTGACGGAGATGCAGCAAAAACAATCAGGGTAATAAACATATCCAGAAAACGCATTAACTAAACGGTTAACATAACTTAATACATGTTATACAAAAAGTAGGTACATAGGTTCGGAGATAGAAATTCACCTCACGATTGTTCTAGATCACTCAGCATGATATCTTCAAACATCATTAGATACACTGAGCCTAATATGCTCCTAAACAAAAACAAGCACAGATTTAGAAAGACATTATCATGCAAAATACAACTTTTGTGATTTATACATGACATTCAATTAAATTTGCAACGTAAACAACAAACCGTTGCTATATTCAGTGGTAAAACTGCTGCGCTAATTGCGCCAAACTGCGCCAGAATGAATAACCTGCTACATGCTGCTCTAAAGGCTGTATTTGCGCACAATTTGCGTCATGTCTGCGCCGAAAGGGAGCAGTTCTCAAAAAGGAAACTGAAAGTGTCTGGCACGTGACAAGCGATGCCACTGAAAGTTAAGAAAGTAGTTTTTTTTTTGATGCCTAAGTAGTATGTGCGAAGAATAGAACTGCGCGAATATTTTAATTTTCTAATAGTAGTTTGAAATAATATGGTGATATTCGCTTAAAAAATTAACTGTAATATTCATACATTTCGAAGTGTTGATTGCAGTGGGTTAGCCCCCTTGAGTGTGCTTCTCCTCAAGCACGGTTGCACTGCAGAGAAGCAATACCCATGAAGCTGACACAGCGATCTCGCGAACCGCTTCACCGCAGCTCATTCGCGCACTTATGCGAAAAGCACATCTTCAAACTAGTATGGTGCACGCGCACGCCTAATGTATATTAAAAGAAAAAAAAAAAACATATAAAAGTTTTGGAATTGTTTTTATTACATTGCAGTAAAATCTTTAAAATTTAACTGTGGCTATTATTCAAGGGTATATGTTAGAGTCCGTTGCAAGTCAAGAAGGTAGGGTGAGGGTATGACGGGCCGAGGCAGAGAAAGCAGATGGAACATTTAAGAGAGATTTTCCCCTCTCTTCTCCAGCATTCCGTCTGCTTCCTCTTCCCTGGCCCGTCTTATCCTCACCCTACCTTCTTGAGTTACAACGGGCTGTAGGCAGCAATGTTCTAAAAACCTCTGTTTATTGTTTGTGCTTTTTTTAAATTCAGAATCAACAAAAAATATTTTTATATAGGCAGAAAATTTTAAAAATCCCCTCAATTATGTATGGCTAGGCTCCTTTATAGGCTCAATTTTATGTCAAATTTGTCATTTACTTGCCATCCCACTGTAGGTACTGGACGTTCTGAGGCTTCAGTCTATAAATATAGCTAGATTAAATTTAACTACTCATAAGTGGGCAATTAGGAACAACCTTCGTATCCAGCTGAATTTTTGTTTAAGCATGGTGGAACAGTAGTAAAAGGCATGGAGAAAGGTGCAAAAAGTCTTCAATATTCAATTAAAAAATATTCGACCGAAAGAACTATTACTATTCACTTTGAATTTGCTTCGAACCCAAAAGCTATTTTTGCTCATGCCAAACGAAGAGTTGTCGTCGTTTTTTTTTTTGCGAACGGTGCTCACATCGATC